TGGCGTGGCGTGGCGTGGCGTGGCGGCTGTGTCCCGGAGAAAGTGAGTTGTTCCCTCGCTAGTTACCTGTTGGTCCCTCCTAGGGGACGCTCTGTGTGGCGGTGGGATGCCTGTAACACCCTGGAAACAAATCCGAACGTTCCTTAACCAACATAGGCCGACTCGAGGCCCTAGCAGTCAGGGGAACCTCAGTAGAACTGAAGAAGCTTTGCTTTGTTTCCACAGTAAACGTTTTTGTGGTTACCTCCGCACTGCTCATGATAACGTAATGACGCCAAGTTTATGAATGTAAGGATTTTTTAAATGTCGCTGTAGGCCGGGTGCGGTGGCTCCTCCCTGTATTCTCAGCTACTCGGGAGGCTGAGATGGGAGGATGGCGTGAGGACAGGAGGTCGAGGCTGTAGTGAGCTATGATCTCGCCACTGCATCCACCTGAGCGACAGAGAGAGACTCTGTCAAAAAAAAAAAAGGCAGTGTAGAGAAAAATACTCAGTAAACAGCAACACGGGTAGTCCTGGGAGGGTGCAAAAAATGGCAAGCTGATGTTATGTTAGGGAGGAAAGAGCTCAAAGACGCAGGGTTTTCGGCAGCACCAAGGACAGGGCTCTTCTGAGCTGCCCAGTTTAGTCATTCCCGGCTGGGTCACCTTAGATAAGTCACCCCACTTCTCTGGACCATTTCTCTTTCTTTTGTATACAGTTGTAGAACATTGTGACAACCCACTGAGAAGAGATATGGGAGAGTTTGGAAATATCTTTAAATCGTTTTCTTGAAAGGGCAGGATAGGAGATACTTAAACATGATCCTAATCATGATCCTTTCATTCATAAATATATGTGAAAATTATATGATATATTGGTATAAAATAAAATAAACACTACTTAGGCTAAATTATCTCCTCCTCCTCTTCCTTCTTCTTCTTTCTTCTTCTTTTATAGAGATGGGGGTCTTGCTGTTTTGCCCAGGCTGGTCTTGAACACTTTGCCTTAAGCGATCCTTCTGCTTTGGGTTTCCAAAGCTATATTCTTCTTTCTTTTCTTTCGATTTTAAAATAAATTTTTTAATTTTTTAGGTTACTAAGAGTATCACGGGCCCTAGGCACTGTATCTGCTACTGTATTTAATGCACAAATCAGCCGTTTTTGCCCGTTTCCTAATTTGCAAAATGAGGATGATAATAAAACCTACTTCACACAGTTGCTATGATGATAAAAGAAGTCATTACATGTAAAGTATTTTGGACACTGTATGGCACACAGTAGGTGCTATGAGTTAGCTATAATCATTATTACCAACTGACACTCCAACTAGAAATTAATGGGGACCTCTGTTGCTTAACATTCTTATCAGTATATGATAGTCAAACTTTAACATGTTCGATAATCTTTTGGGTATGAAATCTCTTCTTTCCTTTTCTTCTTTCTCCCTTCCTTCCTTCCTTCCTTCCTTCCTTCCTTCCTTCCTTCCTTCCTTCCTTCCTTCCTTTCGTCTCTTTCTCTCTCTCTCGCTCTCTTTCTTTCTTTCAGCTGGACAGTGATAGCGTCATCTCAGCTCACTGCAACCTCTGCCTCCCAGGTTCAAGTGAATCTCCTGCCTCAGCTTCCCAAGTAGCTGGTACTACAGGCATAACATGTCATTACATTATCACGAGTGGTGCAGAGGTAACCACAAAAACCTTTACTGTGGAAACAAAGCAAAGCCTCTTGAGTTCTACCAAGGTTCCGCTGACTGCTAAAGCCTCAAGTTGGCCTGCGTTGGTTTAGAAGGAACGTTTGGATTTGTTCCCAGCCCACCTAATTTTTGTATTTTTTTAGTAGAGATGAAGTTTCACTATATGTTGGCCAGGCAGGTCTCGAACTCCTAACCTCAGTTGAACCTCCCACCTTGGCCTCCCAAAAGTGCTGGGATTACCGGCACAAGCCACTGCGGCTGGCCTATTTCTTATTGAGAATCTCTTTGTTAAATGAGATCATTCATAGCACACAGAACTCATCCCCCAGTCTTCCTTTTTTGAGAGCTGGAAGTGAGTCATCTCTGCATCCCTACAGAGAAGGCATGTATATGCCTCAGTGAATGTTTGGTAAATGAATGACTGAGAGATTGAATTAATGTGGGTAGAAGAATTTTGTACCAGAGCTTAAGGCTACTAAATATTTTTGTTCCCTTTTTTTTCTCCCATTCCCACTAAAGCTATTAAATAGTCACAGAAGAGAGCACTGTTTAGTGGAATTACCATAAGCTTTCAAATCAGGCAAACCTGGGTCTAGATCCGTGTATCCGCTTGCTGCACAACTCTGGGCAAGCGATGTCCCCTCTATGTGTCTAGTTGACATCTACAAAGTGGGCACCATAATGCCATTTGGCAGGGCTGTAGTTAGAATGCCACAGGTTGAGAATGCCAAAGGTCTATGTCATGCCTGGAGTCAACTGGTGCTCAATAAATGTGGGTTCTTGCTGGATGCAGTAGCCCCGTCTCTACTAAAAATACAAAAATTAACAGCCCTAGTGTTGTGCCCCTGTAGTCCCAGCTACCTGGGGAGCTGAGGCAGGAGGAGTGCTTGAGCTTGGGAAGTTGAGGCTGCAGTGAGCTGAGATCACACCACTGCACTCTGGCCTGGATGACAAAGTGAGAGACCCTGTCTCAAAAAATAAATAAACATAAAATAAATAAATATAAACTTTAAAAATAAATGTGGGTTTCTTGCCTTTTCACCTGTTGTCTGGCTTCTGAGTCCCTCGGTGCCAGCATAACACTAACAGTCTATTGTATGACTTGAGGCCAGAAGTCCCGACACATGGAGCCATCAGAAAATGGCTGCCGGGCACGGTGGCTCAAGCCTGTAATCCCAGCACTTTGGGAGGCTGAGGTGGGCAGATCACAAGGTCAGGAGTTCGAGACCAGCCTGGCCAACACGGTGAAACCCCCGTCTCTACTGAAAGTACAAAAAAAATTGAGATAGGTGTGGTGGCAGGTGCCTGTAATCCCAGCTACTCGGGATGCTGAGGCAGGAGACATGCTTAAACTGGGAGGTGGAGGTTGCAGTGAGCCAAGATGATCACACCACTGCATTACAGCCTGGGCAACAGGGTGAGACTCATCT